AGGTCATGCTTCCCTACCGACTTCCCTTCCACAGGGTCATGGTTAGCTGCAATCACAGCGACATAGACTTTAAGGGTGGAGGGAGACAGGCTTCGCTCCAATCCTTGCTGCAAAAGGAAAGCACAACCCTGATCGGGAATCTTCAGGGGTCTTCTCATTGAGAAGAACACCACTCGATGAACAGGTTCCACTTCAAGGTGTAAGCGTGTCTCGTAGATGGTGCTCTCGCCGAAGTGATGGTGTACTACCTCTTGGGGTAGGTCACCAAGAACCTCCGCATCCCATCCAGGGACCAGACATGAAGTTTCCAGAGTTCTGGACGCGGGTGCCACAGGGTGCCCCATCTCTGAGTCAGTAGATCCTTCCAATCTGCCAGGGAGGGGCTGTCTCGAGGAGCATTCGTTCGGGGAACCTATACGGGGCCAATACGACGCCACAAGCAGGACCTGCTCCTCGTCCTCCCTGACCTTGCACAGCGTCTGTGCGAGATGGCTCACTGGGGGAAACGCATAATCAGCACGTCTCCAAATCAGCTGGACCGTCTGGGGATGGAGTCTCCATTCTCCTGGGAGCGTAGCTCGTGACAGCTCATCGGCTGTACGGTTGAGCAGACCCAGAATGTGAATGGCACGAAGTGACCTCAGAACCTTCCGACTCCAAAGGAGGAGGTGGCGGGCAAGTTGCGACATGTGACAGGAGTGTAGACCACCTTGTCAATTGATGTACGCAACAGTCGCCGTGTTGTCAGTTCGGACCAGCATGTGCTTGCCTTGTAAGCGTCCTTTGAGACGGTTCAAGGCAAAGCGCACCACTAACAACTCCAGGCAATTGATATGCCAGTGCATTTGGGGGCCCGTCCACACCCCCGACACTGCATGCCCGTTGTATGTGGCCCCCCAGCTGGTGGTGGAGGCATCCGTGTAAACCCCAGCATGCCTGGAGACTTGTTCTAGGGGCACTCCTGCCCAGAGAAACGTAAGGTCTGACCACGGGGTGAAGGTTTGGCGACAGGCCAGTGTAACTTGGACCCGGTGAGTGCTGTGCTGCCACGCCCACATCGGGACTCGGCCATGAAGCCAGTGCTGAAGCGGTCTCATATGCTGCTGCCATATGCCCCAGGAGCCTCTGAAATAGTTTCAATGGGACCAATGTCTTGCCCTTCAACGAATTCAAGCAGTTCAGCACCGACCGCGCACGTTCCTCTGTGAGGCGTGCTGTCCGTTCGACCGAATCCAACTCCATACCGAGAAAAGAGATCCTCTGCGTCGGGAGGATTTAACCTTCTCACCCCCCTAAGGAACCTGATGACCAGGTCATGCTTCCCTACCGACTTCCCTTCCACAGGGTCATGGTTAGCTGCAATCACAGCGACATAGACTTTAAGGGTGGAGGGAGACAGGCTTCGCTCCAATCCTTGCTGCAAAAGGAAAGCACAACCCTGATCGGGAATCTTCAGGGGTCTTCTCATTGAGAAGAACACCACTCGATGAACAGGTTCCACTTCAAGGTGTAAGCGTGTCTCGTAGATGGTGCTCTCGCCGAAGTGATGGTGTACTACCTCTTGGGGTAGGTCACCAAGAACCTCCGCATCCCATCCAGGGACCAGACATGAAGTTTCCAGAGTTCTGGACGCGGGTGCCACAGGGTGCCCCATCTCTGAGTCAGTAGATCCTTCCAATCTGCCAGGGAGGGGCTGTCTCGAGGAGCATTCGTTCGGGGAACCTATACGGGGCCAATACGACGCCACAAGCAGGACCTGCTCCTCGTCCTCCCTGACCTTGCACAGCATCTGTGCGAGATGGCTCACTGGGGGAAACGCATAATCAGCACGTCTCCAAATCAGCTGGACCGTCTGGGGATGGAGTCTCCATTCTCCTGGGAGCGTAGCTCGTGACAGCTCATCGGCTGTACGGTTGAGCAGACCCAGAATGTGAATGGCACGAAGTGACCTCAGAACCTTCCGACTCCAAAGGAGGAGGTGGCGGGCAAGTTGCGACATGTGACGGGAGTGTAGACCACCTTGTCAATTGATGTACGCAACAGTCGCCGTGTTGTCAGTTCGGACCAGCATGTGCTTGCCTCGTAAGCGTCCTTTGAGACGGTTCAAGGCAAAGCACACCACTAACAACTCCAGGCAATTGATATGCTAGTGCATTTGGGGGCCCGTCCACACCCCCGACACTGCATAGGGGCTGTCTCGAGGAGCATTCGTTCGGGGAACCTATACGGGGCCAATACGACGCCACAAGCAGGACCTGCTCCTCGTCCTCCCTGACCTTGCACAGCGTCTGTGCGAGATGGCTCACTGGGGGAAACGCATAATCAGCACGTCTCCAAATCAGCTGGACCGTCTGGGGATGGAGTCTCCATTCTCCTGGGAGCGTAGCTCGTGACAGCTCATCGGCTGTACGGTTGAGCAGACCCAGAATGTGAATGGCACGAAGTGACCTCAGAACCTTCCGACTCCAAAGGAGGAGGTGGCGGGCAAGTTGCGACATGTGACAGGAGTGTAGACCACCTTGTCAATTGATGTACGCAACAGTCGCCGTGTTGTCAGTTCGGACCAGCATGTGCTTGCCTTGTAAGCGTCCTTTGAGACGGTTCAAGGCAAAGCGCACCACTAACAACTCCAGGCAATTGATATGCCAGTGCATTTGGGGGCCCGTCCACACCCCCGACACTGCATGCCCGTTGTATGTGGCCCCCCAGCTGGTGGTGGAGGCATCCGTGTAAACCCCAGCATGCCTGGAGACTTGTTCTAGGGGCACTCCTGCCCAGAGAAACGTAAGGTCTGACCACGGGGTGAAGGTTTGGCGACAGGCCAGTGTAACTTGGACCCGGTGAGTGCTGTGCTGCCACGCCCACATCGGGACTCGGCCATGAAGCCAGTGCTGAAGCGGTCTCATATGCTGCTGCCATATGCCCCAGGAGCCTCTGAAATAGTTTCAATGGGACCAATGTCTTGCCCTTCAACGAATTCAAGCAGTTCAGCACCGACCGCGCACGTTCCTCTGTGAGGCGTGCTGTCCGTTCGACCGAATCCAACTCCATACCGAGAAAAGAGATCCTCTGCGTCGGGCAGAGTTTGCTCTTTTCCCAGTTGACCCCGAAGACCCAACTGGCTGAGGTACCGGAGCACCAGGTCCCTGTGCTCGTACAACTGATCCCGAGACTGTGCTAGTATAAGCCAATTGTCGAGATGGTTGAGGATGCGAACACCCTGCTCTCTGAGGGGAACAAGAGCCCCCTCCGCGACTTTCGTGAAGACACGAGGAGACAGGGGCAGCCCGAAGGGCAGGACCTTGTACTGGTATGCACGTCCCTCGAACGCGAACCACAGATATGGTCTGTGGCGCGGAAGGATCAACACATGAAAGTACGCATCCTTCAGGTCGATCTCTGCAAACCAATCTCGGGAACAGATGCACCCGAAGATGCGTTTCTGCGTCAACATCTTGAGCGGTAACCGGTGAAGGGCCCGGTTCAAGACACGCAGGTCCAAGATTGGTCGTAACCCAGTAAAAGGTGCCGTCCATGACCTGGTGATCTCCTCATGCACCTCCGGGAAGAAAGGCACCGGGGCGGGGTGCTGAGGACCAGCGCGAGCCACCCCGAGAAACCAATCATCCAACCTCGAGGGCTCGGGAGGGCTCAGGTTTCCACTCGAGCCCTACCCTCTCGGTTGCCCGGGAAAGTGTAGCCGACATCTCTGGATCCGATTCAGGCATTGCCACCATCCTGGAGGGCGGCAGCGCAGCCGAATCTTCCTCTCCAGAGAGCTCTCCCTCCGATGCAGTGATCGACATCCGGTCATCGGGAGGAGTACCGCAGGATACTGCTGGTACGCTCTTCGAAAAGCTGGTATGCATTGCACTTGCTACCTTTTTATGCTCACGCTGTGATCAGTGGCAGCTGGATGCAATCATCGCATGCCAATGTGCATTGGTTCGTTTAGTTACTCTCGAAGTAGATTGGTCTCTTGAAGCGAGATCCCAATTCGTCAGTCACCGACGTGACATCGAGAGTGACCGACTGAAAGGGAACATTTTGAGTAAGATTTAACTGAATACCTAATTCAAAAGAACCAGGTGCAATTTTTCATGTTTTAATTTTATTCTCTTTTTTTCATTTGATTTAATATTTATTTATTTGGTGAGTAGCCATCATGTACAATCAGCTTCTCATAAATCTGCAATACACTAAAACAGAAAATTGTCCTATAAATGACCATTTTTATTAACTCCTATTACCATTAAAGGGATAGTTCGCCCAAAAATGAAAATTCTGTCATTATTTCTCACCCTCAAACTGTTTCAAAAGACCTTCGTTCATCTTCGTCACAAATTAAGATATTTTTGCTCTTTTGACCCTGCATAGACCGCAATGCAACTGACATGTTCAAGGCCCAGAAAGGTTGTAAGAGCATCGTTTAAATATCAATCAACCGTAATGTTATGTAGCTATGAGAATACTTTTTGTGAGCAAAGAAAACAAAAATAATGACTTTATTCAACAGTTACCACGACACATGCGTGTGCATTCCACCACAGCATGCTAGTTGCATTCTTGTCTATGCAGGGTCAGAAGGCTCTAGGATTTCATTAAAAATATCTTAATTTGTGACTAAGATGAACGAAGGTCGTATGGGTTTGGAACAAGATAAGGGTGATTAATTAATGACAGAATTTTCTTTTTTGGGTGAACTATCCCTTTAACATTTCTGTGAATGACAGCATTTCAGTCCTGGGTGATATTTGAATTGAACTAGTTGTTTCACTTGAATGCTAATTACATTTCACCAAGATTGCAGATGAGTCATACAGAAGAGTATCAAACAGTTATGTCAAATTAGATAATGACCTCTTGACCTAAGAAAAATAGTATAGGTGTGGATGGTAGCAGCAATTTAATATGAGCCTCGACAGCTGAATATTTTGCCAAGTTAAATTGGTCTTCTTGTTAAACATGATAAGCTGATGTTGTGCTCTCTCCCTCTGCAGGTTCTGTTATTTGTGACAAGAGATTAGCGGGCCTCCTCCTCCTTCAAGCCTCCTCCCTCCTGCTGTTCAGTTCTGGGGAAAGGATGTGCCCCTATAGCTGCCGTTGCGAGGGAAAGATTGTCCATTGTGAGTCGGCTGGCTTCCAAGACATCCCAGAAAATATTTCAGTTGGTTGTCAAGGTCTATCCCTGCGCTACAATGACCTGCATACAATGCTCCCTTACCAGTTTGCCCATCTTAACCAGCTACTGTGGCTGTACCTGGACCACAATCAAATCATGTTTGTGGATAGTCGTGCTTTTCAAGGGGTGCGGCGATTGAAGGAGTTGATCTTGAGCTCCAATAGAATTTCACAGCTTCATAATGTCACTTTTCACGGAGTACCTAACCTACGCAGTCTCGACCTCTCCTACAACATGTTGCAGGAGCTGCAGCCGGGCCAGTTTTTTGGTCTTCGAAAACTGCAGAATCTGCACTTGCGGTCCAACGGGCTGACGACGATCCCTGTCCGGGCGTTTCTTGAGTGCAGAAGCTTGGAGTTTCTAGACTTGGGCTATAATCGGCTTCGGGTTCTTACTCGTACGGCATTCCTGGGTTTGTCTCGACTTATGGAGCTCCACCTGGAGCATAATCAGTTTTCACGAATCAACTTCTTTCTTTTTCCTCGCCTTGCTAACCTTCGTGCCCTGTATCTACAATGGAACCGTATTCGAGCTGTCAACCAAGGCCTTCCGTGGAGCTGGTACACCTTGCAAAAGCTTGATATCTCTGGCAATGAGATACAGGTACTAGATCCTGTAGTATTTCAATGCCTCCCCAATCTTCAGGTCCTCAACTTAGAGTCTAACAAACTGGCCAATATGTCTCAGGAGGTTGTGGCTGCCTGGATCTCCCTAACAACCATTAGCCTTGCAGGCAACATGTGGGATTGTGGACCAGGCATTTGTCCTCTTGTTGTCTGGCTCAAGAATTTCAGAGGCACCAAGGACACTAGTATAATCTGCAGCAGTCCTAAGCACCTTCAAGGGGAGAAGGTTATGGAGGCTTCAAAGACCTACATTGACTGTGATGACTACGAAATTACTGCTCAATCACCTTTGTATCTGCTGACCTTTGATCCAAATTTTGACCTTACTCTTGAACCGACTGACCCGACAATGGCTCCTACAACACCGCCTCCACCCTTGCCTTCACCTGCCTCTGAGGTGCCATTTCCACCTCCCCATCCTCGACCGCCTCAACGCCCCACCTTCCCCAGCCGTGCAAATCCAGATCCCAGAGACGCCCATCAATGGACACCCTCATCATCCGACAGTTTATTAGTCACGCCAGCTCCTGAGCAAGACAACGTGTCATTTCACAAAGTGGTGATGGGTGGGGTGGCACTGTTCCTCTCAGTGTCCCTTGTCTTGTCAGTAATTTATGTCTCCTGGAAACGTTACCCTGGTGCCACCCGGCTTTTGCAGCAGAGTACAGTGGGCCGTAAGCGTAGGAAAAAGAGTCAGGAGCCTGAACAGAACCTGAGCTCCCAGCTCCAGGAATATTACATGAGCTACAACCCTGCAGCCACGCCAGAAGCCTTGGAAGTGCTGGGCAATGGGACAGGTACCTGCACCTGCACCATATCCAGCTCCCGGGAATGTGAGGTATGACATGTGAAAGCAGCCTAAAATCAAATCAGATCAAAACAAATGAACGACTCAGGAAATAGAGGTAATTCTTCATTGTGCATGGTACAAATATTCATCAGAGCAAGGGTAAGCACACTTGACTCCTTAGGTTCTTGAAATGTCTCATTTACTCTACTTTCCTTGACTCCACTTTTTAAATTAATAGACACACTGTCTTGGTATGCATTTATATGGGCATTTCTGGCTGATACTAATAATTATTTATTTTTGAAGCTGATAACTGGTACATTGGCTGACATTAAATATCATAACTTTGATAACTTTAAAGATCCAGACATCTACATGCTTATATCGATACCAAACATTATATTAAATATATCTGCATTTTTACTTATCAGACTGATAAACAGTCACATTTATTGAGTGATACCAATATGACCACAGAAACATTGTGCATCCCTAATGTTGTCATACAATGTAAACCCTAAACCAGGAGTCAATGGTCTCTTTACCAAAAAGCACTGCCCTGCCTCACACATCTGCATCTTGGTTTTGGCCTCATTATTTCACTTGTGAAAGGCTTATTCATTTTGTTTGTCCTAATGATTATGATTAGTATGCTTTGTGTTTGGGACACTGATATTCACTTGAGATGTAAAAGGGTTTCTGAAAACCTCTGATTTGATTATTATTATTATTATTATTTACTTGCAGACAGTCAAAACCCAGCCTGTTGCATTGGGAATGGGTTTGCATCATTTAGCTTCTGAGAGTACAGCAGAAAGAACTTAAAAAAAGACATCTGTCGATAATTAAAATTGCAGTGCAGGCTAGTGATATATTGATTGTCACAACCCATTAGAGCATGCAAAATGGATCCTACTTTAGTCTCTAATGTCATGTTTAAAAGCATCATTCTCTCTATCTGTCTAAGTCCATAACTGGTTTTTATTCAGCTCTTTTGAAAGATTTTAAAGGCTGCATTTTAATTTGGGATGTATTTCATGTGCAAAGCAATGACTGTTATCTTTTAATCATACTGGGATGACATAGGTGATGAAAGGCAGAGAAATAGTCAAGTTTGTCACCAGCGTTCATAGCATGAAGTGAAGATGCTGTTTTTAACAGTCATGCAAAATCCCATGATGCGGATCTGCTTCAGTTCAGCCAGAAATAGTCTGTAAAAATCTGTAAAATCATGATTTCCGTCTTCCCCTCTTTGATGTTGTAAAGAGTGTCTCACCGCAAAGAGATAAATCTTATCAATGGACGTGCATAGGGCATGTTTGAACAAAAAGGTTTATTTGCACTTAAAAGAGAATCTGTATATGGCAAGGAAACCAAAATGCTCAACTGGAAGTAATCTACTTATTCAAATTAGCTAATGGAAGTAACCAAACATCGGTGAATAAGAAAAGCTATTAAACTCTGTAAATGTTTAGTTCGAGCAATGAAATCACTGAGTTGAATTATTGAGACAATGAACATCCATAATAAAACAAACAATAAAAAGTGCTAATTAGGGATGCACCGATACTGAGCTCCTGTACTCGTACTCGTTAAAATGCCCCGATACCAAACGCTGATACCACACAGCATGTGTAAACACCAACAACAGACAGCAGAATGGAGTTATTAGAGATTAAGGATGTATACGAAGTATATGTATGCAATGAATATAATGTTAAACATTCAGTATTAACGCCTGTATAGCTGATGTGCGTGAGCTGATAAACAAAGCACGCTGAGTGGATTGAGCACGCGGCGGCACAGATGCGCGAGCTTGTCGAGTGAATATATCTTTCTCACAGACATCACTGGAACGTTTGTAGTTCGGTTGGATACGTCAAAAACAAGTAAAAAAACGCGACCTCTATTTCTGAAAATATCAGTTAGGAGATTTATAACGAGTGGTTCCCTGCATTATTACAGCAAAGCGCGTGATTACAGTACTAAGCAGCTGCAATGGAGCAGCTCTAATGCTATTAAATTAAAGATGATGTACCACAAAGCAAAAAAATTAACAGTGAAAGTAACAAAAACTTGTAAAATACATTTTAATGGGCATAATTAAGTGTGAAAATAACCGAAGGATATACAGTCAAACCAAAAATGATTCAGAGACCAGATATCATTTTAGATTTTTTTTTTACTAGTGGGTGCAGGATACTAGAGTTCATTTATGTAAGTAAAGTAAACTGTGATAAATTATACCCAACAATTCTTCATACAGTGGACTACCAGTAAAACTGATAAAAAAATTGGGACCAAAAATTATTCAGACAGAGTCTGGGAAAAAAACATTGAAGTTGAGGTTTGCATGAAGCTGGGTGACAGCATGCCCAGGAGACTACAGGCTGTCATTAAGGCTAAGGGTTGCCCGACTAAGTATTGATAGTTGTGTAAATACTGTCATACTAACAGCTGTCTGAATAATTTTTGGTTTATTGTAATCCATTACATACCTTTCTATCAAAGTTATCTAACATTATCAAGCTGAATTTGTTTTGACACAGTTTAACTCGGAGTTCTTGTCATATTTATTACCATTTTCTAAACTATAGCGAATAAACTGTGATAATGTGAGAAATGTTGAAGGTGTCTGAATAAATTTTGGTTTGACTGTATCTATTTGATAAATTAAGTTAACCAACTAACATTATACATACTCTTTTGGTTTCTGTACCCAATATTTAAAAAATTTACAAATGCAATAAAAATATTGGTATCGGTATCGGGTGAGTACTGGGAAAAAGTAGTATCGGTGCATCCCTGGTGCTAATACAATACAAGTTTTCTTTTAACTGATGCTTCAGAATTTCTGTACAAGTTTTCAGTGTTATTTTAGAGATTCTGTGTAAAACACCACCTCCATAACAAGGTGGGTGGTTGCATGGCAGATTCATTTGCACCTTGTCAGTGCACTTGGTGTTACCCCAAAAAGATACGTCTTGTTTTGAATTGTGAGGAAGCAAGAGAACACTTTATTGATCCCAAAAAGGAAATTCAGTTATTTCAGCAGCTATACTTCTTTCTAGGCATATTCATCTGAGAGAGTTGCACACCTTTAATGGTAGCAAGGAAGAAGGGACTCAGTGGAGCCCCATGATATGGATGCTTTTCATGATTTCTGAAAGCCTGGACAGCATTGCCTTGAACTACCACCTGTAGGAGAATGAGGTTTGGTCTTGGACTGAGGTACCTTTCTTGATTAAGTTAGAGCCTTGTGGCACCTCTTGCCTATGTACCGCAACCCCTTCTTATACAAGGAGTTTGTTTTTGCTACCCACTCTTGTTTATTGACCAGGGGGACCCCATGTAGGCCTATTCCACCCCAGTGTCGCCGCCATTTATGGTGAAAGGGATGAATGGAATTATTCTCCTCCAAAAGTCTCCTTACCATTCCTTAGTCTAAGTCTTAGAAGAAGATTTTGAATAGAGGCAATGGATTCCCATGGAGCTATTCACACCGAATACGAACTATCGCCCGCTGACAAACTGAAGTTGTTGTTTTTTTTCTTTGGTGGTGGTGTTTATTTATTTTTTTACTTGTCCAGCATTGAAATGCATCGGCCATTAGGATGTCCAGAGCCACTGTGGATACACATATCAGAGCATAATTTGTGACTGACATGTTCTAATAATTAGATAATTGAAGAAAATGAATGAATGAATGACAGTTAAAACCTGCTGAACACTAAATACAAAATAACAGCTAAAAGAGGCTCATTTGCAGAGTAGTTGAAAATAGTGCACAATTTTCACAGTGTACAACCAGAGCCAGAACATTTCAGCCTCCAATTTATTTTCATTTTATAAAACCTCTTCTTCCACTCCTCATAGTCCAGTGCCTCTTGGCCCACATCGCTTTGATCCCAATATACATTTATCCATTTATTAATAAAGAGTCTACAGAATAAAAGAAAACATGACCCAACCTGAATTATTTTGCCAAAATAAATAATATAATCGCTGCAGGGTAACCGGTGCATTACAGCTACTATTAGCATCATAATACAGAAGACAATTTATAAGATTAATACTATGCTTTTACTCAAAACTCACTTTAAACACACCATTGAGTGTTTGTAATATCTTCCGGTTGCGATCTAATGCAACTTTTGGTTATATAATGTTGTTGAAATGTTATTAATAGCCTTTTATAATCAGCTAATGACTACACTTAGTATTTCTCTCATAAACATCCTTTATTGTTATGAAAATACTAGTGGTTTAATGGATCACAAATCTCACGGTTCGGATCACATTACGGTTTTTGACCCACGGATCGGATCATTTTTTCGGATCAGCAAGAAAAGAAAAATATTTCAATTTAACTTGCTTTCCATTTATTACTTAAAGCGAACTACTTCTTTGATACCACAGCAAATACTACTAGATTAACTAAGAAAGTTCAAACATGATTAAAGAGACAAGAGAACAGCCAGTAAAAATAAGAACAAAAACACAAATTGCAAGCATAGATAAATACAACAGAATATGTTACAAATAAAATAAGGTTGGTAGTAGAAAATACCCCGAATCGCATGAAAATCGTATACAAATCATATACTATTATATTCGTGTGTTTATTAGCTTAATGTTTCACATACCTTTCTCTGGGTTTGTTATGTACGAAACAACGTGGAAGTTCAACATGGAAGAGAAAGGGGGATACAAACACATAATATGAGTGACATATGAGTGACGTGAGCAGCAACAGCGATCGTGGAAGAGAAAACAGGCAGACAGCACTAGAAGCTGCTAATGCTCATCAGATTGCAACATTAAGTGGAAAATTAACAGAAATTATGATTGTTTAAAGAAATATGAAGTAAACGTGTAAAGATACCAGTATTTATTCAAATGGGAAAACTTTTGGAATAAAAGCCCTAATGGACACTGTCCAGTGCAGCTTGCACACCTATGTTTTGTCAACAGCTTCTGGTGGCCACCTCATAATTTTCTATGCAGGAAAAAAACTGTGTTTTATTAAATAAAAATGAGTGCCGTCA